TGAGAGACCATCTCACCTCATTGGGATTGGCCCGTTTCACTTGTGCCAGCAGAAGAGGCAAGCGGCAGACACTGTCAGCCCAATTATTCCAGCTGGTGGGGTCCAGGAGGAAGGCCTTCTCTATTGTTGCTCCTACCCTCTGGAACATCTTTCCCCTCCCCAATGTGAGGTTGGACCCAATCCTCCTATCCTTTTGTAAGAGCCTAAAGACCTGGTTCTGCCACTTGCCCTGGGGCCCCAGTGGGCGAACAGCACAATGGAGGTGGTTATTCGAGTAACAACAGATTCCACCTCCCTCCATATTCCTCCCCCGGTGTCCTTAGGTTTTAATGTTTGATTTTAATTATTTATGTTTTAAACGTATATGTATAGATATATATTTTATGACTGTAAGCTGCCCAGAGTTACCATATGGTAAGAAGGGTGGCCAATAAATTTTATAAATAAATTAATTAAATTTATATGACAGAGATTCCATACTGTCTCTTCCCCAAACCTTCCATTTTGGTGATCAGATGCAAACTTTACTTATTTATTGCAACTTACCTTCTGCACATCGGCAAATGTTACCATGACATATCTTATTGAGAAGACCTGTTCCTTTATCTGGATGGTAGAACTTGGTACACTGTTCATCTAAAGGAAAAATTGAGAGTTATGTGCATACATCACAACAAGAAATCTATGGTGATTATAGAGATAATTATTTAGGACAGGGCTGTTCAAACTCAAGGCCCGTGGGCTGGATCCAAACCATGGGGTGCTTAGATCGGGCCCGCAGAGCCACCGTGAAAACAGTGAAGGACTGGCCTGTGGTGCCTCTGTGTGGCCCTCCCGAGCTCCATTTTTGGCTGTGACAGCCTCCTGCACCCCTCTGCCAGAAAAAACAGAGCTTGGGGAGACCATGTACAATCCACCCAGGCTCCATTTTTGATGGCAGAGGGCTGCAGGAGGACGTTACAGCCAAAAATGGAGCCCGTTCACTGGCAGAGGGCTGCAGGAGGCCATCATGGCTGAAAATGGAGCCTTGATGAGTGACGTCAAGTTGGCTACACCCACCCTGGCCATGACTATCTCTGTCCCCCCAGGTCAAACCTGGGTGGGGCGGCCCCGAATGAACTCGAGTTTGACACTTGATGCAGCCCCCCAATGAAATTGAGTTTGACACACCTGATTTAGAAGAACAAAGAGTAACCCATTTTCTCAAAATTTCAAATTTGGGGCATGTCTGACATGACAGTGCAATGGAAACATATCAAGAATGTTGGTTGGCTGATTGAATTTTATTAAGCATTTACCTGAAAAGCACAGAGCCCTACAACGCAATAAGAAAGGTAAGAGAGGATCCGTGTATCTGCCATTCTTCATGGAAGAAGAGGGGGGGGGGAGTTGATATAAGAAATCCTTTTTGATGTAACATGGATACATTAAATCTTATATTGAATTTGGATAACCCATGATATACTACGGAGGGACGGAAACCAGATGCCCCGAAAGACCCATCACCTCTGAAAGAGACAGCCACAGGATGAAGAGACCATAAAAATTCCTGCTGGGAGATGTCTCCTGGGAACCCCAAAAAAGATCGTTCTCAGAAGAGTGGGGGGAATAAACATGTTGGCTCTTTGTTTTACTAAATACACATCAAGAGAAGGGGAGGGGTCTTAAACTCCCTTATCTATCCCTGCATGCCTGAGGCACGTTAGATGCTGCTTTTAATCCCTACATGAATTGTCTCATCTCAATAAAGGATTCCTTTTGATACGTTTGGTTTTCAGAAGTTCATTCTTGTTGATTGAATGGGAAAAAGTTCTGTAGCCTGACAGATATCCCATTATATAATGGAGTTAGTAAGTTGGAACAGGGACATCTATAGAATTCTGCTCCTTTCGTCAAATGGTACTGCATTGCAAGCTTTGAGCATGCATGTGATGCTACAATTAACATACAAAGGGGTTTGTGGTGTGACAGCACAATGTTTACTTTTGTCATTCTAATCCCCCTTGATGCTTCCTCTACATGCCACTTTTTGACAGTATAAAATAGAATATAGATAGTCCTCAACTTATGACCGCAATTGAGCCCTGAATTCTGGTCATAAGTCATTGCTGTTGTAAGTTGAATCTTCACATGACCAGACTCAATTTTATAATCATTTTAATTATGGTCATTAAGTGAGTTACTGCAGTTGTTGTCTAATCACATGGTCATTAAGCAAACCATATGGTTGTAAGTCTGAATCCAGTTTATCAAAAGGGAGGGTTTTTTTTTTGTCAGAAGACTACCTGTATTCATGATTCTTACGGTCTGTTACAAAACTAACACCTTCCAGTATTAAAGTCTCCAATTATTACATGCCAATAATCGTGCAATTTCACTGAAGTTTAAAAGACCTAGCAAGAATGAGATCAAAATGGGGACAAATTGACTTTCCAAGTAAGTTAGGTATCCCTATGACACAGCAGGCAATCTTAGAGTTGCACCTATATGCAAAATCAGTGCAAATGCTTTGTGCAGCAGAATGTCTTGAGTGAGCACATCCTTTCCTGGAATTAAAGCATAATCCATTGATCTGTGCTGCCAAACAAAACTGAATTAGAACTGGGCATGGATGTTTGTCGGTTTTGGTTTTTCAACTTTGTAAAATGATTAGATACAGATTCACAGAGTTGGAAGGGACCTTGTAGGTCATCTAGTCCAACCCTCACCCACCCACCCAAGCAGGAGACCCTATACCATTTCTGACAAATGGCAGTCCAATCTCTTCTTGAAAGTCTCAAGTGATGAAGTTCCCACAACTTCCAAAGGCAAGTTGTTCCATTGATTGATTGTTCTCACTGTCAGAAAATTTCTCCTTACTTCCAGGTTAAATCTCTCTTTGTTCAGTTTCCATCCATTATTCCTTGTCTGGCCTTCAGGTGCTTTAGAAAATAGCTTGACCCCTTCCTCCCTGTGGCAGCCCCTCAAATATTGGAACATTGCTATCATGTCTCCCCTGGTCCTTCTCTTCACTAGACTAGCCAAGCCCAGTTCCTGTAACTGTTCTTCATAGGTTTTAGTTTCCAGTCCCCTAATCATCCTGCTTGCTCTTCTCTGCACTTTTTCTAGAGTCTCAACATCTTTTTTATAGTGTGGTGACCAAAACTGGATGCATTATTCTAGGTATGGTCTTACTAAGGCTTTATAGGGTGGTATTAGTACCTCCCTTGATCTTGATTGTATCCCTCTGTTAATGCAATTTAGGATTGCATTGGCTTTTTTGGCTGCTGCTGCACACTGCTGGCTCATATTTAGCTGGTTGGATTAGATATTTTTTAAACAGTTATTTAATATTTTATAAGTGTGTGTGCATTTGGGGATTCTTTTTCCAAACAAATGCCTTTTTGCAATGTTGCCTACTATATAAATGGGTTTTACAGGCAATTTTCTTTGAAATAGTGCTATTTCTGTGGTTAAAGAGCTGCACTGAAAATGTTGTTCAGAAATAAAAATAACAAATTTTCAAAATATTAATTAGAATGGCAAAATGGCTCTTCCTCGGCCATGATAAGCTCAGCTTCCTAAGTCTCAGTACCACTCCCCCCCCCCAAGATGAGCATCCTGTTGCCCACCAGAGCAGAGAAAAACAGGATCTTGGTGTCACTGGCTTCAAAATGGAACAACTTGCCACAGCCAATTTGCCATGGCCAACTTACTGCAGCCAACCCGCCACAGGATAACTCGCTGTGGGACAATTCAACAATTCAATTTAATTATTTAAAATAATTAAAAAAATATTTTAATTTTCATCATTCACATTTCATTTTGTCCCCCTTTTTTAATGATTCTATTCCACCATTTCTTTGATATTAGTGTAACTCTTGCTCCATGGCAAGTTATGACATGATGAGTTGGCGGGGGCGAATTGGCTGTGGCGGGTTGGCCACATGAGTTGTCCATGGCAAGGTGGCCATAGCGAGTTGGCTGCCATGAGTTGTCCTAGACCCCCACTAGCTTTGTTTTCTGCTCTTCAGGAGGCAAGCAAAGGAAACTCACACCAGAAGGCTACCAAAATACTGGACAGAGCTCTGTGTTAATAACTTTCAGCGTTCTCAAGTGATTCATTTTTCACTTCAGCCTTTATAAAATGAGTATAAAGAGACTTTTGGAAAGTCAAGAATATTTTATGAAGTATCAATTATTATTGAGTATTTTTGCCTAATTTTGCCAACCTCCAGTATGTTGAGTTCCTTGGAAAGAGCTAATTTGGTCTAATGGTTAATACATCAGGCTAGAAAGAAGGAAACTGATTTTCCGCCATAAAAGCCAGCTGGGTGACCTTGGGCAAGTTGTTCTCTCTCAACCTGATTCACTTCGCAGAGTGGTTTGTTGTGGGGAAATTAGGAGGAGGGATTCAAGTGTATTCAATAAGTCTTCCATTACCTAGATTGTAGTAGCTGTACACCTTGACTGATCCTGGCTGAATGAAGCCAACTTCAAAATGCTTGTGAATCTTAAAATGCAGGCATTCAACTTCAGAGTGGGAGACCTGGGATGGAGAGAGAAGATAATTTCATGAGTGCTAGTCTGCCCATGGGGGTAATAAGGATTTTTTTTACATAAGTTACATCTGTATAAGCAGACATGCAGTGGCGCAGCTGGATAAGGATGCTGGATCTGCTGACCAGAAATGGTCGACACACCATCAATTCAAGGCCTGGCAATATTGTGAGACAGGCTGAGTTCCCATCACCATGCCATACAAAGTAAATAAAATAATTATGAAATCAAATAAAATCTGTATAGCTTCAAAGAAATTACTTATTCCAAGTTAGGTGCTCAAATTTGACCCACTGATTGAAGGACCAAGTTCTGTAAGTCTGTCCACATTGCGCAGAATAAAGGTTAACAATAGAAGTGTTTCGTATATGGAGAGGAGCAGCCGGTTGAAATGGTGTCACAGAAAATACTGGTCAAAGGTTAGAGTACTAAAACAATTCTGTCATATCTTATTTTTGTTAATTAATTAATCTATTTATATTTCATGCTTCTTTTTTAATATCCAAAGTTTCCCCAGTGCCCAGATATAGTGCTGTCTTCCCCGTCTTAAGTCAGCAGGTGACTAGCCCAGCACAAAATTGGCCAAGTCCCCTTGCCATTCCCCATCCTACCCCTGTTGCCCCTCTATTAAATCACTACAGTCACTGGACCCCACTCCAAAGGAATAGAGGCTAAAGGCTAATTTCCCATGAGTTGAAGATCCCCTTGAGCAGTGATTGCATGAAGGGGAAAATACTATATCGGCATGGATTCAAGGAAAGGCCCCTTCAGTCTGTCTTAAGCAAAAACTCTGAACAAGATGCAGGAACTATATAGCGCAGAGGTCCCTTGAACCATTCGGAACCGAGCTGTGGAAATGGCAGGCGAGTGTGCGCGCATCCCCACTTGTGTAAGTGAGCGTGTGTGTGCATGCTCCATTTGCGTGTGTGGTATCCATGTGTGCATGCCATTCACGCAAATGGAGCTGTGTGTGTGCACGTCCCCGCACTCACGTGGAACCATCCCCACTCCCACCCCCGCCCAGCCGCAAAGCTGGAAAGATTGGGGAACTCTGATATAGAGATATAGCAGAAAATAAGTACTGGCCAAGGTTTGCTTGTACTGGAATTAAGTGCAAGTGGAGAAAAGCCCAGAATTATCAATGCAAGATATTTTTATTGGGGTGACTACTAGAATTACATAGAGATCACAATAATAATCCCACAACTCTGATAGTCAGTTCTAGCATGCTTGTTCTTCTTGGTTTGTTCCCTGGTGACTTCAGGTGCTGCAGGCCTCAAGGTCAGAACTTGAAGCTTTGGACGTTTGCTTGGATATCATCATTACTTGGGCACCATCATCCCTTGCAGCATTAGTCAGGGATGTAGCTCTCTTGTTATCAATTACACCTCCCTATTTCAACCTGCACACACACACACACACACACACCATGCCTTTAACTGGAGAGCCAGGCTATTTATTAACCATGTTTATCTCTTTCAGGAAGAGAAGATAAGATAAGATAAGATAAGATAAGATAAGATAAGATAAGATAAGAGAAGAGAAGAGAAGAGAAGAGAAGAGAAGAGAAGAGAATTTTTTTATTGGCCAAGTGTGATTGGACACACAAGGAATTTGTCTTGGTGCATATGCTCTCATAAAAGAAAAGATACATTCATCAAAAGTCAAGAGTCATAAGGTACAACATTTAATAATAGTCATAGAGCTGTGTTCACAAATAACTGAACCAACACATATCAAGGTGGGCTTGAGATTTCAAAATGGATGGATTGGACTAGCTCACCCCATGCTTCCCTCTGCCCAAAATATCCATCTGCCATTTGTAAGTCAGGCCATCTGACAGATGGCAAGATATGCCGAAATGTGATCTTTAAATACTGTATAATGTGTTCCCTTAACACAAGAGATTATTATATCTCTTTCTTGCTAGATATATGATCTATTGCAATCAACAATGAATTATGTAGATTTATTTCACTGAATATACACATTCTTTTTCAGATGGTGTATTCTCCAGAGTTTGCCTAGCAAACCAAACAACCAACCATGTGATTACTCAAAGAAATTGATTCCATAAATATTTACCTTGTCTAAGTAAATGACAACAGTTCCTTTCTGAACCATATTATTGTCAATTTCAAATTTGGAGATGTATCTGTCCACTCCTTTAGAAAGCTAAATAATGAAAGGAAAGAAAGGAAAAGATGACATTGACTTCAGAAGTTGCAGATGATTCAAATACATGAAATTGCAGATGACTGAAGCCATTGTACTGGCACTGTGCTACATTTATAGCAAAATCCGAATATATTTTCAAGATTCCCAGGATGTACATCTGAGAAACTTTGAGATAGCCAAAAAAAGCTTTAATATTAGTAATTTGCCAAAGAAATTCCACACATCCTTGTACAAATCAAATTCTTCCGACACCAAATTCTGGGTCAATATAAAAATCACTGCTTATAGACAACACTAAGAAAGTTAAAATAGTTAAAAATTAAAATAACTTTGACTAGATTCACAAAGTTTTGCAGAATCAAGTATTCAGTACAAGACTATGATTTTTTTAAAACAAAGTAATGCCTTTTATGTGTCATTGAAATAAAATTTGGCATCATATTGATTAATTTTCTGGTAATGAAGATTCATTCATTCTGTCTGCAGTTTTAATCATATAGGCAAATGATTAACTATAACACATTCTCTAATTCAGCATCTTTGCTAAACTGCAGAAACAGCCATTTCAAGCCCCATTCAAAGCTTGCTTACCCTCGTAAGGTCTTCTGCATCAGCGAGAAAACCAGTCAGCATAGAAACATCAATTACTGTCATTGTAGAATCAACTTCTCCCAGATACCTAAAATCAAGAATGGAGGAAAAATGACCAAAGATGGATTTCCTAGTTCACAAACAGTTTCCTGTTCATTACTATTAGGGAAGTTCTGGATTTTTTTAAATGGTTCATCTTGAAGGAGAGAAATCTAGCTATTGACAGAGCTTATAGGCTGGCATCTGAGCCACCACAATATGCTCCTAACTCACAAAACAATTTTCATGGAAGTTTTTGCAAAGTTTATGAATTTGGGTGAAAATTGAGTAAAAAGCATTAATTAAGGCATAAAATAGAATGTATTTTTGTTCTTTAAATGGCAAAACCAAGTTGAAGACCTACCATTTGTCTAATTCTATAGTTCTCTTGAGTCCAGCTCAATGTCTGATGGATTCAGGAACAGATTTGTGAAATTTTCCAATCAATATGGAATATATTTCCCATTGCCTTCTCCTGGGTTATTTTTCTCAACTCCTTAGTCTAACCTATAGTTCTAGAGTCCCCTGGAGGTTTTCCATTCTTGTACTGGCCATCTTGCTGTAGCATATTGCAATTTCTACATCAATAAATCAATCTGAGGGACCTGCGATGACTTAAATACTGCTCTTTGTTTCATCCACAAACAATAAAATGTTACAAATTAGGATAGTGCTCAGAAAACAGATCAATATACAAGCAAAGATGGAGTGTAAAGTTGGAAAAAGTATAACTATTTTCTTGAAAAGTAACACAAGTACTTCTTCAGGTTATTACTCTAAATATGTGGCTACTGTTATGGACTAATAAAAACTATTTAATAAAACTTGTCAACCTCATGATAAGCAGGCTCGTAATCCTGCACCTTTGATTGGCCCATGGATAGCGAACAGGGATTGGTCCTTACGGAGCAGCCTGATTGGCTATTAGTTGAACATCTCTCATTGGGCAAAAGTTAAGCATTTGGACACAATTCATTGGTTAACGGGTCAGCAGCCAGCTCTATAAAAGAGCTGCTGCTGGCCAGGGTTTTTGCTCTGTTCCTAATCCTTAATAAAGAGTTGAAGTTCACTAGTCCTCTGACTCGTCTCCGTTCCTTGCGCCCATGCTCAGAATATAACACTGGCGACGAAGGTGGGATGCGGAGACGATAGAGCTGACTGAACACTAAAGAGCGCCAAACAGAGCACGTGGCTGATCGCGCACCAACAACGGCAATATGGCCAGCGCTGCTATACCACCCGCTCCATTTGACCCGGCAAACGAAGACTGGGACTCGTATATGGATCGGTTCCAGATGTTTCTGGAGACCAATAACTTAAAGGACGCTACAACCGGAAAGAAGCGAGCAATCTTCCTGACACATTGCGGGCCGGCCGTATTTAAGATGGCGAAATCACTTGCAAAACCGGCTGAGGTGAAATCGATGGATTGGGACGCCCTCGCGCCCCTTCTACAGGCCCACTATGCACCCACAGTGCCAACACTTGTCCGAAGGCACGAATTTTACCAGAGGGACCAACGGAAAAGCGAAAGTCTTGCAGACTTCATCGCTGACCTCCGGAACTTGGGAGGCCTCTGTGGGTTTTCCAACCTCGAAGAAGCTTTGCGAGACCGCATAGTTCTGGGATTAGATGACCAGACAGTGCAGAGCAAGATCATAGCCAAAGGGGACATCGATCTTGCCGATGCCATCGCAGACGCTACTGCAGCAGAAGCAACCAGGAAGTCGGCCGCTCAAATGCGCCGCACCAATGCACCGCTCCGTCAACTCGCGAATGACACCTCGCCTCGCCCCGAGAGGCACTCAACAACGGCGCAACATGAAGACCTGGAATCCCCATCAGAAAGTGATGAGGAAGAGGTCAACCGACTCCGGTCCGAACGAGACCAACAAAACCAACGATTCCCGCGACAATGCGCGGGTTGTGGGGCAAATCACCCACGATCTGATTGCAAACTCCTCGACGCACTCTGCCATTCCTGTGGAAAAAGAGGCCACATTGCAAAGGTCTGCAGAAGCAAGCGAGGATCCAGTCCAAAGCGCAGGGAGAATAACTGCAGCCAGTCTTCGGGATTCACTCCTGCGAATCGAAACCACCAGAACCACCAATGGAACAACCACTCCTACAGAAATAAAACACCTGCCACTTCAACGAGACGTGAAGAGGCACACCAAACCATTACCATCGGCCACGCTACATCCTTAGATGCAAGAAAGATCCGAGTGAAGGTCGCTATCGAGAACCAACCATGCGTGATGGAAGTCGACTCGGGGTCGTCTCTCTCGATGGTTTCCTGGAAGACCTTCAAACAACTAATCCCGGCCATCCGTCGTCAGGACCTCAGCCCCCAAAGGATCATACTCAAGGATTACCAGGGCAACAGAATCCCGGTCGTCGGGTCCAGCCAAGTCCAAGTCTCCTTCAAGAATCGTATCGCATCACTACCGCTGACCGTCATTGACCGTGACCGGCCTAGCTTATTAGGCCTACAATGGTTCACCCCGCTCGGGATCGAGGTAGCCGGCATCCACCGAGCTGAAAGCAACGACTGGGAGGAGTCTCTCGTCCAAGAATTCCAGGACGTTTTTTCAGAAGAGCTAGGCAAGTACAAGGGGACCCCAATATCGTTTAACCTCAATCCTGAAGTAGCTCCCATCCGCCTTAAGCCTCGTCGGGTGCCTTTTGCACTAAAACCAAAGATCGACGAGCAACTCGATAAATTAATAGCCCAGGGCGTTTTAGAACCAACCGACCACACCCGTTGGGAAACCCCAATTGTAACACCCATTAAACCATATGGATCGTTAAGAATTTGTGGGGATTATCGGGCCACTTTGAACCACGCACTCCAGCAGAGTGCTTACCCGGTGCCGGTGGTTCAACACCTTCTCCACTCCCTGGGTGGTGGGAAGATATTCGCTAAATTGGATTTAGCACAAGCGTACCAACAGTTGCCCGTAGATGCGAAAACTGCAGAAGCACAAACTATCGTTACGCATAGAGGCGCTTTTAAATGCAATAGACTCCAATTCGGAGTGAGCGTAGCTCCGGGAATTTTTCAAAGTTTAATGGAGAGACTCTTACAAGGCATAAAAGGGGTCGTGCCATATTTTGATGATGTTTTAATCGCCGCCCCTAATAGAGACATATTAGAAAAGCGTCTCAGAATGGTTCTAAGGAAATTTAAAGACGCCGGCCTGAAGGTTAAAAAAAATAAATGTCAACTGTGTACTGAGAGGGTGGAGTTCCTGGGATACCTTCTCGATAGTCAAGGAATCCATCCCACTGATAACAAGCTAAAAGCGATTAAAAACGCCCCAACGCCTAAAAATAGAACAGACCTCCAAGCCTTCCTGGGGCTCATTAACTTCTACAACATTTTCTTGCCCCAGAAGGCGACCGTAGCAGAGCCCTTACACAGACTTCTCGATAAAAGAGCAACCTGGGTCTGGGGACATCGAGAGGAACGCGCCTTCCAACAAGTGAAAGACTTACTAACCTCCGACGCTGTTTTGATTCAGTACAACGAGACTTTACCCTTAACTATTACTTGCGACGCTTCACCGTTTGGAGTGGGAGCAATCTTAAGCCATGTACTACCAAACGGAAATGAAGCACCTATTGCGTTTTTCTCACAAACATTATCAAAGGCTGAAAGGAACTATAGCCAACTTGATAAAGAGGCCCTTGCTGTTGTATCTGCTGTGAAGCGCTTTCACGAATACGTGTATGGACGAGCATTTATGATAGTCACGGATCACAAACCATTGCTTGGTATTATAGCGGGAGACAAGCCAACCCCCTATATATTATCGCCAAGAATGACTCGTTGGTCTGAGTTCCTAGCTGCCTACAATTATCTGTTGCAACATCGCCCGGGGAAAGCCATTCCCCACGCTGATGCGTTAAGCCGTTCCCCACTTCCGGAAACTGTCAACGACCCAGCTCCAACCCTCACGACGCTCCAAATCGAAACGCTGCACTCGCCGCCACTAACAGCAAGAGACATCGCCATCGAGACGAAACGGGATCCTGTCCTGGCACGAGTTCTCAGCTGGGTCGAACGAGGATGGCCAGCCGACCAACTCCACGACAATTTCGCGCCATTCAAGAATCGGCAGACAGAGCTTTTCTCCCAGAGAGGCTGCGTTCTCTGGGGGGATAGAGTAGTCGTCCCAGAGAGGCTACAACAGACTGTTTTAAAAGTATTACACGAGGGACATCCGGGCATCGTGCGCATGAAGGCGCTCGCACGAAGCTACGCGTGGTGGCTGGGCATCGATAAGCAGATCACAGCCTGGGTAACCACATGCCAGAAGTGCCAAGACATTAGCAACGCCCCACCTAAAGCGACGCCAACCGAGTGGGAAACCCCTCGGGGTCCGTGGTCCCGCATCCACGTTGATTTTGCGGGACCCACCAAAGGACACACGTTTTTATTAACAGTTGACGCCTATTCAAACTGGCTAGAAATCCAGAAGATGAAGACGACCACAACAGTCAGTCATTAATAAACTGAATAAATTATTCGCAACGCATGGGTTACCAGACGTTTTAGTTTCTGATAACGGGCCCTAGTTCACTGCCCTAGCTTTTGAACAGTACCTAGCGGACCGGGGCATCCGCTATGCGCTCACCTCACCAGCGCACCCTGCGGCTAACGGAAGGGCGGAGCGAATGGTACAATTCGTCAAAAAACCCCTACATAAAATGGACTATGGGGACATCGACGACAAGCTCAACCGAATACTCCTGCTTCAACACATCACCCCACACAGCATCACGAATAAGACGCCTGCCGAACTGCTAATGGGGCGGAAACTTCGCTCTCACCTCGACCGTCTCCATCCTTATTATTCACCAGAAAAACCTTTCGGATCTAGTGGGAAGTGCCGCGAATTCAAGGTAGGCGACTTGGTGTTTGCTAAAAACTTTTCTGGCGACCCATTATGGGTCCCTGCAACTATTACCCAACCCACCGGCCCCAGATCCTACCGCCTACAGACTAATGACGGGAGAGCATGGAAACGCCATATAGATCAGCTTCAATCCAGATTGGCACCCACCTCCCGTGACTTCCCTAATTCACAAACTAAGGGGGGAGGGGATATCGAGGAGGCCAAAAATGAAATAGATGACGACGTAATCACGGGGACCCAGCAATCTAACCGAAGAAACGCACAACCTGAAGAAGAATCAGGGAGCGGGGTGGTATCACCGCCTAGAAATAGCATGAGGGAGGCAAGCCCACGGGACCCGGAAGCAAGCCTAGGAGACTGGGATAACAACAACGAGAGCCGCGCCGAGTCCTCCCGCACGGAAACGGAACTAGCCGTACCAGAAAACCTTGAAAGCGTTCCACCGGAATTGGACTGCAAACGAAAACCGGTGGAACAGCGAAAATCAAACAGGCAGGTGAAACGACCTGCATATCTACGCGAGTATGTTACCGCACCCCTCAAACGGAACCTAGGGGGGAGGGGTGTTATGGACTAATAAAAACTATTTAATAAAACTTGTCAACCTCATGATAAGCAGGCTCGTAATCCTGCACCTTTGATTGGCCCATGGATAGCGAACAGGGATTGGTCCTTACGGAGCAGCCTGATTGGCTATTAGTTGAACGAGATTGGGCAAAAATTAATCATTTGGACACAATTCATTGGTTAACGGGTCAGCAGCCAGCTCTATAAAAGAGCTGCTGCTGCCCAGGGTTTTTGCTCTGTTCCTAATCCTTAATAAAGAGTTGAAGTTCACTAGTCCTCTGACTCGTCTCCGTTCCTTGCGCCCATGCTCAGAATATAACAGCTACAATGCAAAATTTTCTTTAACATTCAACATTCTTACCTAGTGCATATTTTAAGCCTGAGGGTATCCTTGGCTCCCTTTGCCTGTTTTGAGTCTAAAAATTACAAAAGAAAGGGGGAAAATCAGACTCTGCACAAATTCTTAGCAGCCTTTTTAAGATGAAAAGTTTGATTGACCAACTAGCCCAGTGGTGGCTAATCTTTTTGGGCTCCTGTGCCAAAAATTGTGTAAGAGTTGGCACTCATGCGCTCACATGCCAGCACCCAGAAGGCAATGCGTGCGCCGCCACGCCCTCTGTGCATGTGCGCGCAATCCCCCCACCCCCCCTTACCTGCACTGCGCCTCACAGCTGATTTTCGGCTGGTTTGGGGCCTTTTTCAGCTTCCCAGAGGCAAAAAAAAACCTCTGCAGGCCAAATAGGCCCGTTTCGTCACTTCCGGTATTTCAAGCCTCTGGAAAGCTGAAAACGGCCTCCAACCAGCCAAAAATCAGCTGTGAGGCACTCGCATGCGCAGTGAGGTAAGTTTGCCTGCGGCTTGCATGCCGGCATAAATGGCCCTGCGTGCCACCTGTGGCACACGTGCCATAGGTTCACCATCACGGAACTAGCCATAACATCTCCTTGAAAAACAAAGCATTAATCTAATTCCTTTTACTTTGTACTTTCTATAATTGTTTGGGTTTTGAAAGAAGTCTTGAAAGAGGTGAATAGGGAACTTTTAAACAAAGAATAATAAATTCAAATCCAGATCCAATTTCAATAATTGAAGAACTGGTTGTTGTAGGCTGTGTAGCAAACTCTAGACAAACAATCTGTCCATGTAAACCAGCAATCTGCATATAAATAGGGCAGTACCCAAGCTTAAGAAGAGTACCAGCAGCAAAACAAGTGTTGTACTGAAGTATTATATTAAGGTATTTTAAGAGTACCAAAGGAAGCAGTAAAAATATTAACCTAGTGAGAGTCGCCTTGAACTGTGAGATAAGAGGCATATAAATTTGATAAATAAATGTGGGTTCTGCAAAGGAAAATGAGATAAACAAGTAATAGTGCAGAATGATACACAGAAATAAAACCGGTAAAAAATTGAATCCTGTTGCAAACCCATCAACATGAATTGAAACCAGTCAAAAGTTTTTAAAGAGTTTCTAAAATTAAGAATGCTATTAAGTCACTTTTCCCTTTGGCATCTTTCACCTCAAATCTTAAGAGTTGTTGCAACTAGTTAAGTGATAGGAGAACAGTGGAGGCTTAGTGGACCACAAGAGGCCTTCTGGCCTGTGGCTATTTCCCCTCTGCCCAAATCCCAACTGGTCTGTTGACTGCAAGTACTGGATCTCAACTAAGTATGAAGTTAATAAGATTATTTTCTATCAAGTGAGAGACTTTTTATAAACAAATAGCAGAGAAAACTTGTCCCACATTGAGATTCTGACATGGTGAACACTAAAATTTTAATACCTCCCCTCAGAAACTTCATTACAATCTACTATTTCTAGGAAGCCAAACTTACTCAATTGGGCATTTTCAACAGAAACATCAAGATGGAATTTGTTGCAAACATTTGCATCCTCCCTCAATTGTGCATTATAGACCGTCAAAATGGTCATTGTTGCTTTTCCATCACCTGAAGCTGACACAGTGAAGTCTTCGTTGAGTTTGGTCTGAAAAGCAACCAGGGTTAGCATGACCTTCAACTGCAGTTCCTTGGCTATTTTGATTTTACTTGGTTGTATTTATTGTAACCTGATATGAGCTAGAGGTGGAACCGATTTCAAAATATAAGAAAGACCCAATCGAATATGTGGATGAAGAAACAACCATATATTAACAAGGTATCAACAAAATCAAATCATAAAGAAAACTCCTTTCCTTACACTTTCTGAAGACCCAATGAATGTAAAACTATCCAAATTATTGTGCACCAATCTTTGCAATTTCTATGTACGTGCACATTCATACTAATATAATATAGTAGAATAAATGGATTTAATTTGCTTCAATAGGAAGGTATAAATATAAATTATGTATAAAGTATAAGCGGTGCCATTTGACAATTACTTTATATTTGTATAGTAAACTTTAAAGCACCTGAAATCTGTTTTAAGGTGCAATGGAGAAGAGATTAAAATGGCCTCTTCTCCCATCAAAGTGGAGGGGTAAAGCTTCCAATAAAAGGGTATTGGATTGGTTATTTAGGAATTGTCTCTTAGAGGCCATTGGTGATAGCTGGAAGAAAAAGCAGAGTGGATCCAGCTGTAACTGAGAGAAGCGTGTATGTTTCTTAAATCAAGAATTCCTAATGAAAGGAAACGACTGTAAGAGCCACCGCTATAGAGAAGGCAATACAAGTAGTTCCTGATGTACAACCACAGTTGGACCAGAATTTTGACCGTAAGCGATGCATTCATTAAGCGAGTCATCATGTGACTGGACCAGTATTGTGACCCTTTTTACAGTGGTTGTTAAGTAAATCACTGTAGCCGTTAAGTGAATCTGGTTTCCTCAACTGACTTTGCTTGTCAAACCCCAAAAACTTTAACCTTAGACTGTCTACTATTGACCTCACCCCTTTCCTAAGCGGTCTGTAGGGGGCATGCACAAGCGCATCAATGTGCCTACCGTCCCTGTCCTATTGTTTCTTTCATTTTTCTTATAATCAGCTCACAAGATCCTCTATACAGCAGCAATCTGCAAATGGTTTCATGAGCTGTGTTTTGGAGCATCTGGTGAGCCATTCAGCTGGTGGAGGAGATGGGATGGGCCTGCAATCATTTATTTGTTTAATAAGCAGCTCTTTTGGAATTTATTTAAATTTTTTTTTTTTAAATAAATGAATAAATAAAGTAAATATATATTCTTTGACAACTAGAGGGAGGTTAAGAAGATGGTCAAATTTGAGTTTATTTTTAGGAAGGTTTTTGAAAATTCTATACAGAAAATTATTCATTTTATAAACCCACTAGGTTCTAAAGTATATTAACTATATTCATAAATGATAAATGATATTAAATGATATAAATGATATTTTTAAGAAGTTAGAGGGGAAATTATATGTAGAAAATTATCAAAACATTGATACAATTTCACAAATATCTGACAATCTAAGGATTTAACAGCAACTTCAGAATACAAACCTGACACCAATTTTTATTATGAAGATAGCTTGAATACACCCTCTCAGTGCAACTAAAACAAGAATTTCAAACAAATTGACAGAGGACAAGCTTGGGATGTTTTCTTCATGGGCACTAAGAAGATTGAGAATTTCTTGAGAAAAAGAGACTTGATAGACATTCTAGAGAAGAAAAAGATTTTATTCTATGAGGATAAGCTGGAAGGAGTGACTTAAATTGATGTGTTAATTGGAATTAGGATGGATTTTTACAAGTCTGATATACGTAAATGAAAGAAAGCAATGTAGTTTCTGTTTATAAAGTGGGTTTGATTTTTTTTCTTGTTTATATATACAATACTTGAGTAATTCCTAAAGTTTGTAAAATATTATTGAAAGTAAATTTGAAAGAATGAATGGTTAGAAACATTTTTAAAGAAAAGTCTAGAGTTTTTAAATGATGTGTTTAAAAAGTTTCTTTCCCTTTTAAAGTTAAAGAATTTGAGAGTGTAGTAAATTGTGTTAATATAAATGATGATAGTTTATAAAGATTAATAGACCCAAACAGAAATACATATTATTCCCCACAGCAAAAAGAAAAAAAGTTGAGATTATTAAATTGATTGTTTTATTCAAGGAAAAGAACATATCTAATGTTGTTTCCATTTGGAAATCGCTTCTGGATTTAGTGCTTGTGTTGGAAAGAATTAAACTTTGATTTTGGTTTTGCTGATTACCTATGTTTGTGGTTATAAAAATGGTTAGTATATATTATTGTGTGAAGGTAAAAAGTTGAGGCTACAGTGCTATTATCTTCTACTTTGCTAAAGAGAGCTGGAAGTCAACTCTTTTTTTTTTCTTTCTTCCTTTTTATCCCATACTTTTTCCTTTCCCCTTTTTCCTCCCTTAGTTTCCCATTATTGTCATTTCCTTTGTATTTTATATTCTGATAAATTAATAAAAATGTTTAAATCTAAAGAAGCCCAGTAGGAAGGTTGCGAATCATGATCATGTCAGTGCAAGATGCAAGATCATCATAAATGCTGCACCCATCATAAATGCAAGCGATTGCCAAGCACTCAAACTGCAATGACTGTCACTGCGGGATATGGCAATGGTTGCAACTTTTGAGGATGGGTCATAAATCACTTTTTCTGAGGCCATAATAACTTTCAAACATCATTAAAACAATGGTTGAAAGTCAAAGATTACCTGTAGTTGGGCATTTGCATTTTTATTTCTTTTATTTATGCCATTTTTCTATGTGCTTCGCTGTATTACTCATTGACACTTAATCCATTAAGTATCCTGTAGCACAAAGGCCTCACCATTACTTTCAGATAGAAGTAGTCCTCATGACTGCTCATTTAACAACTGTTCAAAGTTATGGCACTGAAAAAGGTGACTTAGGACCAATCCTTGCAGTTATGATGTTGCAGAGCCCCTAGAGTCATGTATTTGCCTTTTGCAACCATCCCAAGGGGCTTCAGACAAATGAAGTCAATAGGGGAAGCTGGATTTGCTTAACAGCTGCATGATTCACTTATTGATCACGGTTATTTGCTTCATGACTGGGGCAAAAAAGTCATAAAATTGGGCATGATTCATTTAACACTCACATCAGTTAATGACAGAAGTTCTGATATTAACATCTGGCTGACTGTGCAACGAACCATGACAATTCTTGACTTTACATTCACTGTCAGTCCAAAGAAAAATAATGCATAACTAGATATACAAACATGTCAGATCGCTTTGTCATAATTATTGGTTGTTTGCAGATATCTGCCAGATATTTAGACTAGATTTGGCATTTTTATCCACCTAGTGAGTCATTTCCAAGGACCAGGGATAGCCAGATTTTGTTCTTTGATGGTGTTAAAGTTATCGTCACAGGATGTAAGTTGTTCTGAATAAAGCTGCCTTTTGCAATTGATTGACAGTGATTAATCAATGCCGCAGGTGATTAAGTGGTGCTCCAGTTGTTGTGCGATTGCTCACAAGGCCCCTATTACTATTGGTATATTGGTGATAATTCCTGCCATAGTTTATGTTCCTTCATCTGCTTTTCCCTCAGAGGCTGTTTCACAAATATTTCTTTCTACTTGATTGTACCAGATCAATATAGAAACATATTTAAACTCTATTAGTATCATACATCTATTTTGGCTCTAAAGTGCTTCTGCAATATCAGAAATAGCAAATAGCAATAGATCATTTTCATGACCGGAGCACTTTAATGAAGTGCTCCAAAGTCCCGCAGAGCCATTAAAATCTCTTTGCTAGAAATTGTCCTTGGAAGTACAGACACAGTTTTGCAATATTGTCTTAAATACAGCCTTTTGCAGCTTTTTGTGTGGAAAAGGAAGTCATTTAAAACTACATTGTATGTTGACAAAGAAGCTAGTTGTCTTAAGCCAGTCTCCCGCAATCTGGTGCAATTCCAATAGGGAGAACTGATTTAGGTTTTCTTTCTTGTTTCACCAAATTATGTATAGTTTTTCCCAGTTCTTGAAAAAAAGATGCATTTGAACCTGCATTTGAACCAAAATAATTATTTCCAATGAAAGGAGTAATAAATACACTTGCTGAAATATTGTACCTCTGCTGTCCGGGCCACGAGTGCATTTCCATAATTAATGCTGTACCTTAGAGGCACTTCTCGTTCTGGCAGGTTAATAGAAATATCTAAGTTTAAGTCCTTATGGGTAGGTATCTGAATCTCATATTCAGCAAGAGCTTGAAACACCATAACTGTTGCCTAGAATGGGAGAAGGAAAAAATAAGATTGTTTGTCTTGGAGTATCTCACAAAAGAACTGAAAATCCAGTAATATATTTTACCATAGAAATAAATGTTTAACACGTAGGGGAGAAGATGGTGATGTGGCTTGTTGCAAGAAATACCCAAACTATATTTCTAATTTTTACAATTGTCTGTTAGATCATTTGATCATAAATGAGAAGATGGGCTACAAATTGATGAGTAAACAAACAGAGGAGAGTTAACATATATACACATAAATACATCTTTAAACCACCTTTTATCTGTAGAACTAAGTGTTCTAGGACAATAGGAAGTCTATGGATGAGATTTCTCTTGGTTCCCTTAATTTCAGCATGGATGAAGGACATAAACCCTAGATAATCTTCAGGCAAAAATTCCTTTCAAAACAATTCTTCGTCCTGCACATCAAAAGATCCATGCTCTTGTCTGCTAATCAAGTAGAGATAAACAATTGTCTATCCACCATGTAAGCACACACCCTGATCTTTTCTCAGCACAAAACATTTTCTCCTATGGATATTTTGTGCCAAAAAAAGCTTACAGATGACTGAAGTTTATTTTAGTCTATCAGAATTAGTCAAGACCTACAGCAGTTATTCAATGCCTTATTCTAACAGCTGAGTAGTATGCAAAGTACAGAAAAAAACCAATCCTTATTCTTTTTTATTTTTTGAGTGGTGGTGGTGGTGGTCTTTCTCTGTACAGTTTTCATTCACTGTTTCTTATCTTATCCTTAGGCACTATGGAGAATAAATCCACAACCTCTTCCCCGTGACAGCACTTCAAATATTAAAAGACTGCTATAGTGTCTCGACTTTGCCTCCCCTTCTTTAGGCGAAAACATGCAACAATTCAGATTATTATTTTGTTTAAACCAGCCTACAGTAGAATACAATTCAGAAGATTATAATTATAATAAAACAAAGACTCACTTGGGTTTGCCCATATGTTCCCCCATAATATTTCTGATCTATCAGCCATTTGACTACAGGACCGGCCTCAGCAAATTTCTTCATTTTCAGCAGGGCCAACAAGGCATAGGAAGTGCCTTCAATATTATGAGTGCGAGCATTATGTTCTTCCCAACGATCCCTTCCTTTAAAAAAAACAGCACAGAAACAGGATTAAACCAAGCAGATAAAAATATTGGTCACTTACCCTGATAGTGACTTTTGACTGGAGTGAAAAGATTGGGAAAATTAACAATTGATTAAAAGTCTCCGATTCTTCAAGAAAGCAGATGATACGTGTGAGTTGTTGGGTGAGGTTACTCAATGGCACGGAGTTGCTGATGATACCCAGTTATGGTCAGCTCTACCAAGTAGACCAGATGAAGAATCATCTCGACAGAAAGGCTAAGATTTCTTATACCGATATTGGCATATCTCCATCAAGGTCACTGCTTCCTCTCTATAGTTAGTCAATATCTTTACATCTACCCCTGGCTGGGTAGGTGGTGCTGTTCTGATACTGACTCAGTGCTTGGGGGCTGTGAGTGTCTAGATGGGGAAGAATTGGTTTCTGTTTCTCCTAGGTCTATTAATGCTATCTCTGACTCTCAGTGGGGTAGCACTTTCCTGGACAGAGACTGTGTGCAGTTTGGGGGGGCCCTCCTGCTTGAAGAGTAGGTGGCAGCTGTGACTAGAGGGGCTTTTGCCATCTTAGATAGATCCATCTTGTACAGCAATTGTGCCCATTCCTGGATTGGGAGGCTTTGCTCATGGTCACTCCTGCCTAGGTCACTTCCCAGCTGGACTACCTCAATGTGCTCTATCCTTGAAGGTCACCCAAAAGTTACAACTGCTCCACAATTCAGTGGTGTTGCAGCTTCAGGTGCCTCTTGCTTTGCCCATATCACATTGTTTGTCATGTGAATTGCACTGGGTCCATTTTCTTTCTGTATGCAATATATAGTGATGGTTATCTCCTTTAAAACATACATGGCACACAGCCAAGTTATTTGGAGGACTGCCTCTCCCTGAGGAATCTGCCATTCTACCAGATTGGATGGGGTTGCCCTGCTCCACCTCTCTTCCCTTAATATTGCCATCTAATAGGACCTAGAAAGAGTATATTTTACATAGCGGTGCCCGCCTTGCAGAATACTCATCCCATGGCATCTGGCAGGTCCCCGGCCTTCTAGCCTTTCAGGAAACTGAAAAGGCTTGGTATTCTCCCCCCCCCCCCCCCCACCCCGGCACTGCATTAGCACTGAAAGAGGACCCGGGGGATTCTACTTCTTAGTGGACCAGAGACTGTTGGTTGAAGTGCCAAGCATTCATTTTACTGTTTCTGTTTTTCATTTTTATTATTGTGGTGAACTGCCCAGAATTCTATTTCATTGAAGGATGGCCATGTAAGTATTATAAACAAACAAGGCACTTGTCTCAACTGTCTCAAATGCATCTATATAATCAGTCTGTCTTCCTCTCCCTTTTCTCATTCCAGTTCTTTAAATCCAATTAGCCACTCCATGCATCTCATGAAATGAACTGTAGCTCATGAAAGTTTGTGCCTTTTAATCTAACATAGCTTTCCTCCTACAGTAAATACAGGTAGTCCTCAAGTTATAAATGCAATGGAACCTGTCCATTCCATTCGTACTTCGACAATTTGTGGGAGGGAATCTTGTACCTTGAACAAGATCACACCCTGCTTTTGCCCATGCATTCACTAATTTAATGTGTGGTGAATGCATGATTCATTAAGGGCACATGAGGTATCTCAGGGTGGGGAAGGTCATGGGTGGGCCTACTGATGGAACAGGCCCCCCAAGGCCTCCCCAGCCCACTAAGATACCTCATGCTTCCCCCTCCCTGCCACGCTGGGCTCATTTACCTTGCAGTCCCCTCTGCTGCAGTTACTTTCCATTTGAGGGAGAGGAGAGTCAATGGAAAGTCCTGGGCACGAAAAGTGTTTGTGGCACCTATCTCCTATACTCCACCCCTCCCCCATCTCCTTTTTGCCACCACCAGGACACTTTTTGCCCAGATGGAGACCTGACAGGGACTGGAAGCTTCATCTGCATGAATATGGGGCCTTTGAAAATGGAGGGATACGCCCCATTTTGAAATGGCCCATAGGCACCCATGAGGCCTTTGAAAATGGAGGATTCGCTCTGTATTGAAGTGTCACATAGATGTTTGTGAGGCCTTTGAAAAT